GCCGTGCGAGCGAGAGAGAGAGAGAGAAGGAGGGAGGGTGGCGGACGCGCGAGCGGGGAGAGGGGAGGGGAGGGGGAAGGGCAGCGTGTTTCTTGAATCACCTGGTCTCGCGCACACACGTCGACGGCGTAACGCGCCGGAGGGAGTCGCCGCGCGGCTCGCTCGCTCGCTCGCTCGTCCGCTTTCTCCTCCTTCCTCTCTCCTTCTTTCTCGTTGGACGCGCGGATATCTGTACGCGCGGTGATCTGTACGCGAGAGCCGACGCAACGTCTCCCTCGACTGACCGCATGCTCGACCTCAGGCTACTCGGCGTAGTGGGCTTTCTTTTTTTTCCTGGCACCCCGCATCTTCCTTCGTCGCGGCGCGCCTTTCTCCTCGCACGATCGTGTAGGTACTCGAGCGTTAACGCGACCGCGGAGCGGCAGGCGGCAGCATATGCGGGGAAAACTTCCTAAAAGCGCCGGAGAATATATCGGCGACGTCAAAGGAGGAGAGATGAGGGGGAAGGGAGAGCGGAGGAGAAGAAACGCGACAAGAAACGCCACCTAAATTCACTATTTTACCTAGTGGAATCTGCGCAAATTCGCGAGATCTCTTCTTTTTATCGTCGATAATATTTTATTCGTCGATAAAATATTCATTAATGTCAAAGAAAAGTCTGAGAAGGCCTGAAAATGCCTGAGAGTAATTATGGGCGATATTATCCTTTCTGTAAACCATCAAATCGAAATGTCACAGTTTCCTTGCACGTTAGCGCCAGCTGAGAACTGAGTATAAACTACGTTGTATTTCACTTTTCTGTACCGTCGGTATACATACCATTTTTGATGCGTATCCCTGCTATATTTATATAAATATTGTGAATGAAAATATGCATTTACAATTAGATATCTACGTAAGATGGTTTCCTTTGCGTATGATAAGTAGACATTGAAATAAAGTAATATACAGTTTATCGTAAACATACCAATCCTGAGAATTATATAATATTATAATAAAAAAATAGAAAAAATGTTTTATATACTTGAAATTTTTGCATATAATTATATCAGTATAAAATTATTATTATTATTATTATTATAGCTATTATCGTCATTATAATTTTATATTTTTTTCATAATTTATAACTGCATTATTTTGGCTTAGTAAGTAAATATATGTTATAATAATTGCACTCTTACAATATTCGAGGATACTTTCATGTAGAAAAAATATCTTATATTAATTTTCTATAAAAGAAACTCAGACAAAATAAATAAAATATATAAAATCAGAACTTTTAAGGATTTTTAAAATATTAATGTGTATAAAATTGACAATTACTTACTTGAATTTCTTTAATATAATTTTAACCTAATCTTTGAATTTAAAACAATGTTAATGTTATTTAATTTAATATTTATTATAATATATATTGTAAGACGTATAAAAAAATTTTTTTACATTATAAAATCTTCATGTTACATTACATTTTATCATAATAGATGGATTTCACTTAAAATATTAAATGAAAAT